AATTTGGAATCTCTCCGTGAATGAACCTTTGTTTCAATCATTTCGATATTGTCCGGAGTCGAGGCGTGACTAGTGCTCTTCGTACTGTAGACTTGAATTTCATCGTCGAGGCAGGAGGTAACGTTCGTGTTGCAACTGGTATCCAGCTCGATCACCTCCGTCTCCGAGTCTTCGATTATCGACGAGTCCAACGGACTCGTATCCATGCTCACATTAAACACGCGGACATCGCTGTCCATCGTAGACGCGCGATGTAGAGAAGTTTTGAAGTTTTCGCGCTCGATCTGTTCTCAGGACGAGATGCGAGATACAATCATCAACGCTACACGCACACGATTTTCTCGATGCGTATGTGCAGTATACTGTGCAGTAGTACTTATGTATTGGAATTTTGGACAGAGCTCACGGAGCAACCGAGTAGGACGGAGCAGTAATTGGTGTGTTTAGTAGTTACAAATCCCCGCGCATGCGCAATGCGCGAGCACGCTCAGACGCTACATTTCTTTTGTTCATTTCTACCAAAGTAGATTTTAACTTGGTTAGACTTTAACTTGGTTTTACTTTACTTTTTATATATTTTAAAGGTTTTTAAAAATAATTACACTAAAGACCGCTATATAGGAAAATGGAATCAAAAGAAAAATTGAAAATTGAAAATCAAAAAATCTTCAAATTCTAATGAAAGATTGGGCGAGTTCAAGACGGCAAAGCGGCTAGGCATGCTTACCGAGCGATTAAATATATGATTGGTTGAATCTATAAGTAACAACCAATTACGTTCATTTGCTCGGCGAGCAGGCTAGCCGCTTTGTCAACTTGAACGCGCCCAATGTGTATTGTGAGCTCTTGTACCTGTTTGGTCTATATTTTTAGATCTAACGGAATATGCCAATCAGATGCAAGGGCTCACTGAGTGCTCAGTTGTAGTAGTAAATGCACCCATTTGAAACATTTTAGGAACTCAAATAAATATGAATGTATAATTTACAAAATAAAATTTTTTAAATGTAATAAAACATATATCGATAAAAAAAAAAACATGAAGAAAGATTATTAAAGTTTTTGGGCTAATCTAAAATACCTGCTATAAATCAATAACACTGTTATATTAATTTCTCCATTAGATATTAAAATAAGAAGTTCGAAAATATACATCCCAATAAACGAGAATGGATTAAAATGAATTGAAATTTTTTCTATCCGAATGCGTATCTTAAATAGCGAATACTTTGTTTGGATTTAATTGGATTCAATTAGATTCAATTGGATGCAATTCCTCTCTTAAAATTGCTGTGTTACGTGCCCTGAAGCCTCTTTTCGTTGAGGCTGTTAGAATACTTTGTTTCTGTTGAAATGTTTTGGGGGTCGCCGATTTCGGATCCGGTCTCAAATTTTGAAAATTCAAAATGGTTGAATCAATATGGCCGATTGAAGTTTTACCGAAAATACTAAAAGTCTTCCGATTTTAGCGAAATGTAGTATTAAAAGGTTTTCGGGGTCGCTGATGCCGAATCCGAACTTAGAATTTGAAAATTCAAAATGGCTGAACCAATATGGCGGACGGAAATACTAAAAGTTTTCCAATTTCAGTGAAATGAAGTATTGGAAGGTTTTGACAGTCGCTGATGCTGAATCTGAACTTGGAATTTAAAATTTCAAAATGGCTGAACCGAAATGCTAAAAATTCTCCGATTGCAGCGAAATGAAGCATTAAAGGATTTATGTAGTTGTTAATCTCGAATCCTCAGATTTTGAAAATTCAAAATGGCTGAACCAATATTGCGGATGAAATTGCTAAAAATTCTCCGATTGTTGCGCAATGTAGCATTAAAGCCTTTTATTGTATTGGAGGGTTTTCGCTTTCGCTAATGTCGAATCCGAATTTAAAATTTAAAAATTCAAAATGGCTGAATCAATATGGTGGACGGAAATGCTAACCCCGGATCTACAATAGGATTTTAAGTCTTAAGTCGTAAGAAATTGACCAATCACAGTCGAATTCGAGGAGAATAATCAACTATGATGCGTCTATTTCTTATGGCTTAAAACTCTATTGTAGATCCGGGGTAAAAGTTTTCTGATTTCAGTTAAATAAAGCATTAGATGGTTTTGGGGGTTGCTGATGCTGCATCTGAACTTTGAATTTGAAAATTTAAAATGACTGAACCAAAATGCTAAAAATTCCCCGATTGCAGCAAAATTTAGCATTAAAGTGTTTATGTGGTCGCTAATTTCGAATCCGAATTTAAAATTTAAAAATTCAAAATGGCTGAACCAATACGACGTCTGACGAATGACCGGTCTAAGATTTTACGTATGTTATATGACGTTTTTGTTTATTGATTGAATGATTTATTAAATTGTGATCGTTACTTAAGTTTTGAAAGGTTTTCGGGGTCATTCAGTGTGATCGTTACTTAAGTATTGAAAGAATTTCGGGGTCGTTCATTTCAAACAATCTAAATCAAAAAGGATGAACTAATTTTTTTGATGTTATTATTAAAAGTCTTTCGATTTCAGCGAATTGAAGTATTAAATAGTTTTTATTTTCATCTCTGACGGGGGAGAGTGGATGAAAGTCGCTCCAATTTTCAATATCTTATATTTTTCTGCCTAAGCTTATTTGATTCTGGATATATAATAAGCAGAGAAATAGTTATTAATTTTGACTGTTAATAACTTTTTAACGAACAGCGAACGGTGGATAGAATTTGTTCAAGCTCACTTTGGATTATAACTTGACAATATATCCCAAAGTTAAGTTTATCGGAGCTTGGTCCCCTTTTCAAGGTCAAGATTTATCCCGATTTCTAAAATTCGATTTTTATTCTGAATTCAAAATCGCTGAACCAATATGGCGGTCGGAAATCTTTAAAATTCCTCGATTTTAACGAAATGTTCTATTAAAGAGTTTTCAATGACACTGATTTCGAACAATCCTTCCATTTCTATTCCTAACCTAAAATTTGAAAATTTAAAATATTTAACCCAATTTGGCGAACGACGATTCTATGTCGATTCTTATTTTAAGACCGTCCTAAGTAATGTCCTAAGATGCTAATGTGGTCCTCGGTGTATGTAAGGAAACAACGTCTTTTTCGGATGACGTAATGAACAATAATAATCTCATTTTTAGACCGAATATGTGAGAATGAAATCGATAAATTAGAGCCTTATGTCGGTCAAAGTTAAATCCCAAAATGCTTAAATAATTCAATCTTTAATCACTAAATATGCTATGTATGTACCTGACATATATACCACAATTGTAGTCTAACAAACTGCGCGCCGAAAAAATTCCGAACTATATAAACGCAATTAAACCAATATAGGCTGCGTTTCGTTATTCACTGTCAATACTGACAATATGACGTCATAAAGTAGTACTGCAGAAGCGTTTTGAAATTACTAATAGTACTTTTATGATGTTACAACATTGCATAACGAAACGGATTTAGTAGTACTTGGTAGGACTGTGTAGAAATAAATAATTTTTTAAATTTTGATAAAATTTTGGAATTATTAATTATATTCATATCTTTGCGTGCTTTTTCTGCATCTACTTTATTCATTAATATGTCATAACTTTTTGACATTATTCATTTCGACATCTAAAAAAACAAATTTTTTCCTGATTTCCCATTTCCTGATTTCGTTGAATTTCGCCATCTTTTTACTGCGATTACCTGACCTCGCCAGTCGCAGTAATAGAAATAGGAAGTGACGCAAAAATTTATTGACGTCATATAAACGCAAAAGTATATTGGAAGTTTTTACTGCGATATATTTTGGAATGGCATGTGCAATGCTGCCAGTACTGACAGTGAATAATGAAACGCAGCCATAGTAATCTCGCGAATTAAATTAAATTTCAAATAATTTCGTTGCTCAAACAGGCATCATATTTTTAAAGATGTTAATATGCTGAAAAAACTGTAATTAAATTTATTAAATTTATTTTAATAAATTTAATTACAGTTTTTTCAATTTTGCACGTACAATTGGCTATGAAAAAGCTATCGGCAAGATAGATGCCTCGTTTGCTTACTGTAGATCATAAGTGCGATCGTGTGACGAAACAATCTTTGGAGATGTTCAATGTAATTCAAATGAATTTCTGCGTCGATTCATTACTGTGGACGAAGCATGAATCTTATTACATACTATTGTAATCTTTCTTCCCGTATGTTAACAAAAAATTAATAATTCTATTCACGATATCTGTATTGATAGAACAATACAGATATTACTCAACAAATCAATTACTGATCAAATAAAATGACTTCAACATAAATTAAGTTAAACATAATTTAGTAATTAATTTATTTTAATGTTCCAATTATCTTGTTCAACACATTGTACGATGCAAAGAGCATCTTAGTCATCAATTGTTGCACATAAACGCATATCCTTTATTTATACAAGTCTACAGGTGCATTGAGTGAACTCAAACAGTTGAGTGAGCGCTCGTTGTTGTTGATATATTCTTCTATGTCATCCAATCAGACATTTAGATTTAAAAGACTACACCAATACAGAACGAGCGTTCACTCAACTGTTGAATCCGCTGAAGGCGCCCAATGGTTGACACATACATAGAAGCACGTAATACGTGTATGTGCACACTACGTTTGCGGTTAGTATGTTCGCGCTTGCGTTGTTACAGGTGATTATTAGGTCGAATCCGTCGAATACGGAGCCGTATGGAACGCAAAGGTCACTCTACATCTGTCTACATCGATAATGGCGATATTTCCGAGTCTTATGGTCGAGCATTAATCTTTCACGTAGACGTGTCCGATCACTTTGATCGCGTGCGAGTCGCAGTGAAGAGCGGCACCTCGAGCAACCGCGTTTTCGGAGATCTCGAGTCACCTCGAGCAACCTCAAGTCAGCCTCGAAATATCTTTGATTGGAGGGGGAATTGACGTGCGTGCGTGCGTATGTATATGCGTGCGTGCGAATCTCTTTCACCTGCTATCTCATACGCTTGTGTATATACATCACCGTCGTACCCTCGTCGCGTCGCGTCATTTGGCGGCGGCCGCGCGGTAGGAGAAGGAAGATCGTAGGTTATGAAAAAATCGTGCAAACACTGTACAAGCGTGAGTAACATATCGACGGTGTGTCTGCCGAAGACGAATCGTAATCGCGCGACGAGTCTCGGGGACGACAGTCTTTTGAACCTCGACATGAAGGAGCAGGATATACCCGAGTACTTAGAGGGCTGCGGATTATCGGCTTGTACGGCCAGCAACGAAATATCCGAGGACGTGGAGCTTCAACTGATGCACGACAAAAAGTTCTCCACCATGTCGTCCTTTGGGAGCAGCAGCAGTAGCAGTTTGGTCGACTCCAAGAAGATTGTTATGATCAAACATCCGGACTCCAACAAGCTGAAACCCGCCGGTAAGAAGACCAAGCCGATCCAGGCGGAATTGGACGTGGGTAAGGAGTTCATTCGATGTAGGGAAGATTGCGTGAGGCGGTTGGACCTGAGCAAGGCCTGTATCACGACTTTGCCCAGTTCCGTGAAGGAACTGAAGCATCTGCGGGAGTTCTACCTCTACGGCAACAAGCTGACGACTCTGCCACCCGAGATCGGCTATCTATCGAATCTAGAGACGCTGGCGCTGAGCGAGAACTCGCTCACCAATTTGCCCAACACTCTGGAGAACCTCAAGTCGTTGCGGGTGCTAGATCTCAGACACAACAAGCTCATTGTGATTCCAGATGTAGTGTACAAGCTCACGTCGCTCACCACGTTGTTCCTGCGCTTCAACCGTGTCAAGTACGTCAAAAACAACATATGTAACCTGACGAATCTCACCATGCTGAGCTTTCGGGAGAACAAAATCAAGGAACTGCCTGCAGGGATAGGCGAACTGGTCAATCTTCTCACCTTTGATGTCTCGCATAATCATTTGGAGCATCTACCTCCGGAAATTGGCAAGTGCGTGCAATTGTCCACCCTGGATGTGCAACACAACGAACTGCTCGACTTGCCGGATACGATCGGCAATCTAGTGTCGTTGACGAGACTAGGAATCCGATACAATAAACTGACAAGTATTCCTAAATCATTGGCGAACTGCAAGTTGATGGATGAATTCAGTGTGGAGGGCAATCAAATATCGCATCTACCAGACGGTCTACTGGCTAGTCTGTCATATCTTACGACAATCACGCTGTCTAGAAACTTGTTTACCTCGTATCCTACAGGTGGGCCGGGCCAATTCATCAACGCTTATTCCATCAATGTAGAGCACAATGAGATCGATAAGATACCTTACGGCATCTTCTCACGATCCAAGAACCTCACAAAATTAAACATGAAGGAAAATAAGCTGAACACTTTGCCGCTGGACATCGGTTCGTGGGTGGCCATGGTCGAGCTGAACCTTGGAACGAATCAACTGACGAAGCTCCCAGATGACATACAGTGCCTGCAAAGTCTGGAGATACTGATTCTCTCTAACAATGGACTGAAACATATTCCGACCACTATAGTGAATCTCCAAAAGCTGCGGGTGTTGGACCTGGAAGAGAATTACATTGACGTGTTGCCGGACGAGATTGGCCTGATGACCGAGTTGCAAAAGTTGATCTTGCAGTCGAATAAGCTTAGCGAGTTGCCACGCACAATCGGACATCTGAGGAATCTCACGTATCTCAGTGTGGGCGAGAATCAACTAACTTATTTGCCGGAGGAAGTTGGCACCTTGGAGAGCTTAGAGTCACTCTACCTCAACGACAACAAGTCCTTGCACAATCTGCCATTTGAACTGGCGTTGTGCAAGAATCTCGGTATTATGTCAATTGAAAATTGTCCACTGTCGCATATACCAATGGAAATTGTAGCCGGTGGACCATCACTGGTGATCCAATTTCTTAAGATGCAGGGTCCTTATCGACCAACATAATTGTTTTATTATTTTATTTTATCGCGTGTTTTTTTTTTGCATATGGTCATATAGATGTCGATTCTTAATTCTGAGAGATAAATAAAGAGGGAGAGAGAGAGAGAGAGAGAGAGAGAGAGAGAGAGAGAGACAGAAAGAGTAAAGAAGTTGTTTGATGACGTACAAGAGAAATGTATTTATAATAATGACATATACATATCTCGATTTAAATTCTCATTTTAATGATCTCATTTTAAGGAAATATGTGAACGACGCTATCACGTTACACTATAAAACGAAACATACAGTTCACTTTGTTTCTGTATTATAAGAAAAATATCTCTTGCCGAATGCAGGAAGATGTTATAATGTGTAACATAAAGTCGAATAAGAATTCTTTTTTCGAACAAGAGGAGGATATATAGAGTAACTCTTGTACAGTTCTAACGAAATATTTTAGATATCAGGATAGATGATAATTTTATTAAAGTATTAAAGTGTAAAAAATATAAATCGCGTGTTTATATATTTTATATTCGCGCTTTTAGTTTGCGTTTTATATTTATCAAAGCGTATGATTCGATGTTGATAGAATTATTAACAAAATACCGTATAAAAGGATGTTTTTGCAAAATGCAATGAGCCGGTTTTATATATATATATATATATATATATATGAAATGTAAGAGTTCTACTTTATATATTAACGTATTAATAATTCGTTATTAATAATATTAATTATTATTTAGGTTTGTTAAATATATAATGCGTATTGTATTTTTATCGTTAATAATTGGTTTAATACTTAAAATACTTTTGTATTTTAACATTGATGGTTTTGATGATAAAAATTAACTCTTTTATTATTATACACAGACAAAATATTTTGATTAAGTAATTGACATAAGAGATATACATTTTAAATGCGTATATTGCAATTATTTTTTAAAACTTAGTAAATCAAATAACAATTCACTTTTATATTCCACGTTTATTGAAAAAGTTGAACTAGTTTAGAAATATTTTATGTTTTTACACGCAACAAAATTGCGTAAGAATGCATGTTGTTATAAAAAGGAATATAATAAACCTACACAAATATAAAAAAATAAAATTTGTAATTTACAAATGATAAAGAAACATTAAGAATCGGCATCAGTGACATTATTTACTATATAAAGGTTGAAACTTCATATATAAGCGAAAAAAAAAGATATTTTACTAAAGTATTTAAATCGGGAAATTGTGATTATGAGCATATGAAATGAAACATATACGTAAGTTTCCACACACATCTTCTCATTCTCTGATATATCATATTTATTGATACACGGTATTGTTTCTCGTTTGTCTATCGTCAATGCGTGTTACCTTGTAAGGTACAAAATATGTCGTAGATATAAGACCTTCCGTGGGAAATCACTATATACGTAAAATTATATAGCTCTATTTATCTGATTCAACAGTTCGCATCGATAATGGAGACTACTCTGTGAAGGTAAGGATTTATGTATAGAAAGAAAAAAGAACAAAAAGCGATGATTTACGCATATGAAGTAACGGTGTACGATATCGCGCGTACCAGAATGTAAGATTTACTCTTATTACATAATTTACAGTAACGAACAACGATCATACGTTTCGTCGAGATTCACGGAGTGATTATAAGATGAATTCTATGTGCAATTATTCCTAAAGTAGCGCGAGATTTCTCATAGTAATTCGCATCTTTCTGTGTTTAAATTAGGTAAATATAGATATAAACTGGAAAAAAAGGGAGCGTATCCGTGCGTAAAATGCATATTACGGTTTGTAGATTATCAAAGAAATTTTTGAAACAACAAAGTGATATTAGACAAGAAATTGATAATGGTGAAAATATCCTGTCATTGTACAAAAAACGGAAATAATCGTGAATCTTATTCTATTCGATTTATTTTGTGCGACAATTAAAGCAACGAAGTCTCTGTACTGTTTCAGGATGTGCTTTTATTAGAGTAAAGAGATTGCGCTGCCAAGTGTAAACGTTAAAAAAAGAATGAAGAAGACATTGAGCATTTTCTTGAGATTATATTCTGCAAGTTCCATAAAGCGATCGATGTTGCGGCTACATTTCATCTCATTCTCTTCCCTTCTTTCTCTTTCTTTCCCTCCCCCCCCCTCTCTCTCTCTCTCTCTCTCTGTTCCTCTCTTTCTCACACACTCGCATATTGTTGTTATTCTGCTTTTGTCTTTACACAAAGAAATAGTGCCAATGTAATTATAAAATTACATGTATTATACATCCATAAATATTTGTACGTCCATTATTATTAATTACAAATAAGTATTATCGTATATTATATAAATACGCTCGCATTTAATGTGCCTATAGATCTTACGAGTCTTGAGTTCTAAGATCTATGGCTTATCGATTTCTTCATTCTGAACAGTCTTTTCACTTGTGCATGTTTTATAAAAAATGTGCGAGTCAGTTTTTTAACGCCGAATCGAATCGAATTAAATTAAATCGAATCATTGAAACATAACTTTGAACTAACAACAATTATTGTTAAATTGAATTTTACATAGATAGTAAAAAAAATTTTATCTGTTTATTTACTAGTGGAATTTTATAAGATTGTTAAATATGTAATTTATATTCGAACCTTTTAGATTTAACATTTTCAAATAATTCGGATTCGAATTATAGAGATCTTATCTGATTCGATTCGTATTCGAATAGTTCGCACATTTCTAACGTTACTGAACTGTGTTTCTCTATAGATATATATGTCAAGTGGCATAGCCGTATGACATTTACTATGCTAAGGCATCATAATTTGCGTATCTGTAATTAGCTAATTTGTTCTTATTACATCGTTTTCTATCTTATTTCATCGTCTTGTGGCTTACTTAAACCACTGTCGAGTCTTCACTGTTATCGCATATTTGACACTATACGCAATCGTGTAATTAATTAAATTAATTTATTTGTAGAAATTAGCGCTTTTTTTGGTAGGAGATAGTTTCATCATAGTATTAAATATGCGAGCATAATCGGGATTATCGCATGCTTCATAATAACTATCGAAAATATAATCTAAATTATAATAATTATGTTTTAATAATATGTGTTCAATTGTGAAATCAATCATACCGTGATCTCTGTTAATGCGCGACATTCGCCGAAGATGATTTGCGAAAATATAGCTTGATTTGCAAGTATGCATTCAGCATTGTTTGCAAATGTTAGATTATTTAGTGGCCGCCGACATATCAATTATTGCGTTCTAATAATCAATTAACATTGAGTATTGTGAAAATCTTCAAGTACTATAGTTGAAGATATTAATTCCGCAAAAAAAGAGGCGTCTGCCGTAATCTCTATTGTCCACAAATAGACAATAGGTATATCTTGTAAAAAAATTGCAACTACTATGGCTGTGCGATAATTTTTATTCAAGTGCTGTAATTGTCTCTATATATCAATTAATAGTCCTTATTCTTTTTTCTTTCGCTCTACATATATGTCATAAATTTTAAGCTCTTGTTTTCTATTATGTAGCAGTTTCTAGCTGTAAATTAGAGAATTTTATTCGATGTCTATCGAAAGCCGCTCGATAATAAATTTACAATATTTTAGATGCTCTAATTTTTTTCTTCGATCTTTAACGCGATGAAATTCGATATTTGATGTTATTATGTAATTATGATTTGCTAATTTTTTCTTTGTTATTAGACATTTCATGATCTATTAATTATTATTTGAATCAAGTTAATAGAAGTATTCCTTCGTGCTAAGGTTCAATGCGTTACAAATTTCGTTTTTATATATGAGTATATCTACTTGTTTGTATACTATCAGTCAGTACGTGTATCTATGTTTTTTGAAAGAATGGAGTACGCACCTCGCAAGGATCGCGATGAGATTCGTCTCTTGGCTTCCTGTTTTAAGTAAGAATCTTTATCGCTGAAAGATTGCATATAAAATACATTAATTTGCAAGTTCTCTCCATTAGACTGTACATATGAGAACGTTTCGACGTGGTCAGGTTCGCGAATTAAACGTGATTAGTGATGAATGGTATTAAAGATTCGTTCTCTTGCAAAGACCATTTATAATCCGTTATGATGATGAGCACGTTATGAAGGAGGAGACGCTGTAAAACTTAATTAGTACAATTTAAAAGAGCACGTCGGGCAAGCGTTGCGAAGGTTCTTGCTAATTAATGAGTATGTCAGATATTTTAAGTCTAAAAGTGAAAACTTCTTTCATTGTATTATAGAGGATAAAGGTTGCGATATAACGGTCGCCATGAGCTCCCACTTATGCGAACTATTAATAGTGAAATGCGTCGACTATTATCGAAGACGTAAGCGGTTCGTCGATATTAAACAAAAGATTTTCTTTTTTTAAAAGTATGACGTAATTTACTCGATGTTATGTAATGTTAGAAATAGTGCACAAATGTGCGCATTATTTTAGAATGGAAATGTTGGAATTTTAATAATAAGTAATATAGTTTTGTTTATTACTTTTAGTGTATTCTACACGTTACTATGTATACGTTATTATCTACAATTGTAAGGATGTATATCAGTGCTTTTATATTTTTTCATTTTATGCATTTCAATTATTAAACTTATTTATTTATTGTTGTAAAATGTTACATGAAGGAGTTAAATGTCAAATCACGATACTTATATATGTAAGCATGTATATTTTAATTTATAAATACATATAAATTCAAATATACGTACAAATTAAAATAAAGACAAATTAAATTAAAATTTAAAACTTAAAATTTTAGATTGCATTCTCAGTTTAACAAGGAAAGTGTCCGAAAAATTTATATAATAGAAAAAGTACGAACATTAGCATGTTCGATAAATAAAGGCTGCAATTTTAAAAAAGTTTAATTAGGTTGATTAATGTTAATGTTTTTTATCCAAATGATGTGATGTGGCGACCGTTTAACAAATTAGTCTTTAGATATTGTAATGAAAGTCTTCGTATGTGGAAAATTCATCGAATCATTCACATAAGTTGCCAAGATCGTTGATACAATACGATCTAACTGTTATAAACAGTTAAAAAAGAAATAAAGAAACAAAACAAATTGATAAACACGACACATAGTCCACGTGGTTTGCAAGCGATAAATTTACCGTGACGATTGCAAACGCCCAGTACACTATTCCAAGTCAATAATATGCTTGTGGAATAGTCTATTGCGCATACGATATTGTGTTAATTGTGTATAATTCCAAGAATGTAATATTAAATGTAACTCAATGTATATTACGTGATTATACGCCAGACGCTGTATAAATATTTCTAAACATGCAAATATATTATAAAATATTTTCCCGAAAATCTCTTGTTTCTCCGTTTCTGTGCGTGATCTTTCTCCGACGTTATAAAACTTAATTTGCGTATAATTTTAAGTTATTATATTTAATATTTTTATTACAATGTAACAGTTAAGATAATTAAAACAAGTTTTTACTATGATTTTTTAAATTAAATTTTAAATATTTATATTGAAAGTCAAAACATCTCTTAAATCATCTTTAATCATTGAATTTGTGCGAATATGCACGTCGTAATCAGTTATAATTAATACTTGTGCTTATGATATTGTTGAAACTTGATAGAAATCTCGCTACGTTTCTTGAAAGTAAAATTTTTTAATTTCTTGTTGCTCGTAGACTGTAATAGCCATTAATGCACATCTCATTATTGTTGCAATACAAACATAAAATAGTCAACAGAGAAAGGAAATAATTTCGAAATTATTACTTACTTCTATAGATGCGTTTGTGATTATTGTGTTTGCAGTAAATATGATACTTCTCTCAAGCGACAATTCGGGATAATTTTTAGGAATCGTAAATACTAATTTCTTCTTAGGCATAAAATCCGATTTGTCGTTTTTCATTTGTTCTAAAAAAACGTTCAAATAAATACAAAAACTAAAAATGCAAAAACCAATGGAAGAGTATTCTGATAAGAATAATATGCTAAAGAAATTTTTGCACTGATTGATTACATTAATTAATTAAATTGATTTAATTAGAATTATATTGGAACATACTTGTGTGTGCGCAACCTGAACCATTCTTGCGTCGTTTGACTTTATTTCCATTATTAGAAATTATTTCATCATATATCGGCATCGATATCGTTTCAAGTTTGTACGAAAACTGCGGAGAACGTATCAATCTAGAATCAAGTGACAAATTTTTTTATACAATTATCATTATAATTGTTTTAGGCCCAGTTCTACTAATGTAAGATTAACTTTGATCTCGGTTTATCTTTTACCGTTTATGTTTTTCTAATTTTCAGAATTAAAAAAAGATAAAGAGTAAATTGAACCGAGATTAAAATTAATCTTACATTGGTGAAAGCGTCAGTTGCACATACCTCAATAATTCCGTAACATCGTCCGAGATTAATTGTAACTTTTGTAATTTTTTTAAAGCGCTCTCCACCTCTTGTTTATCGTTCTTCCTTCCCTGATTAAGATCAATCATTTCTGCTTTGATAGTATCGATTTCGGTTATGAGATCAATTAGCTCGGAGCTCCTTTTCATATCTAACAGAATTATCCTCGGTTTAACGCGCACATGCGAGTAAAAGAACCTGAACTCTTTAAGGGTAACTCCGACCGTACTAATATAAGTGATTAACTTAATTGGTAAAATTAACTTAGCAAATAATACCGTTTCGTTAAAATGAGTAGAATTATCATCTTTTTTGTTTAATATATGAAAAAAGATTAAATTCGAGACAACGAATGATATAGTTAGATATTGTATTTGAAATAGATAATTCTGCCAATTAATCTAATTCGTGATTAACTTAATAGGTGATTGATTATCAAATAATTATATATTGTTGTATATTTTATTAATATGCATAGAATTATTAATTTTTTTAATATATGGAAAAAAGACTGGATCAAGGAATGATATAAAAATTTATTTTAGATAATTCTGCTGGTTGAATTAATTGCTGAAGTTAATCAAAGTTCGGTCAAAATTGCCATAATTTTTAATCTTTGTATGATCCCACCAACTTTACAGTTGCTCCTTGGCTTTGCACAATTTGTAACAAAAGGATGATATTGAAAGATAATAGGGAAATTGTGTTCGTGTGAGAATCGCCATATCTGTTCACAAAATGAGTCTTCCACCGACCACACTTGATAATTTAATTTCTCCTGAATTAAAAGACCAAAAAATATCTCTCGCATTTAATGCAATTAAGAGATGAGTCACGATTTAGCGATTTAAATTAGATATATATTCCAATAATTAAATTAATGATAAAATGAAACTTGCTCCCCCAAGCTATATGCGGCCCACATTTGTGAACTTTTTTTGCGCCGGCTCATTATCAAATATAAAATCATATTTTCTATTTTACGCAAACAAAATAAACATCATGCGACCCGAAAGATTTTACCTATTTCTAAAAATATCCTTCCGAAAATTATACTTACTTAAAAAAGGTTGCGCATCATAAATGATCAAATATTAATTGATCATTTTAGTTTGATAAAAATCAATTATTTAATTAAATAACTATTATAATAACATTAATTATAAAAATATTAAAAATTTATATTTAATCATATTTAATTTATATTCAAAAATTCATATGTAAATTTATACAACTATCTTTTATAAATTAATGCAAATAATTTCTGCAAATATTTAAAGAAAAATTTAAAGTTATTTAGGCAGAATTTTATTAATTGGTTTATCACCAGATCTCGTTCTTCTTCCTCCAGTATCTTTTTCTTCTCCAGGAAGCTGTCTCGGTACATACTTATTGCGTCCTTCATGATTCTCAATTCTACACATTTATTTCCGTATGCGATCAGAAAAGGATCAGGAGCAAGATTTTTCGTATTGCTCGAAGCGTCGTTCTTGGAGTCAATCATCCTTGTCATTTGCTACATCAAATTAAAATGGAATCTAAAATTATAGCTACATGTTATCTCGAAGTTATTGATTTCAATGGCTTTGTATGATTTCGAGTTTACATTTTAATCTTTTTTTATTTATAGATTTAATTTCGAAGTCGTGATCCTTTGTTCATAGGGTTTTTCAAGAGTTTGGACTTCGCTTAGATATTTTTGTTTCAAAACTATAAATAATTACAAAGAAATTTATATTTTATCATTATTTTTAATATATTATTATTATTATTATTATTATAGCAATAATATTTATACGTATAAACTTTAAATTAAATTAAACCGGTTTTGTATTAATAAACTGTGTAGACGATAAACTGATTTTAATATAAAGTACTATAATTAATTAAAAATATGTCTAAATTCTTACTTGAAGAATTTTATAAGATCCCTTTCGATCAACGAACTAATGTATCTGCAACGTGGGTAGTCAAATCAGAAGATCGAGTGTTGTATTTTAAAATGAGATAAAAATTACAAAAGTGAGTAAAAAAATTTACTAGAATATTTATAACTTCATTGGACAACACCTAGTAAATTTGCTTACTTTTAAGTAATTTTCACATGATACACAATCGAATCGACGAATGAGAAACCATTGCGACTCTCGAGTTTCGACGCGCATTGAAAACTGTACACACAACTCCTCGGCATGTAAACAAACTTCAAAACACGCGAGTGACCGCGAGTGCAAATGTGATGAAACGTGTCGTGCGTTCTGATATCTTTCATTCGGACATTACACGATTATTGAAGGTTATACGCACAAGACGAACCAACCACATGAACTGGAACGGGATGAAACTGTTGAAGAAACCGTAAGTTTATATTCTGAAATAAGTTTATTTTGTATGAGATCGAAGATCCACGTAACCTTGAAATATTTACGAATCAACTACGGCCCAACACGAGGCGGGAACAAATGATATCGTTGTAGCAATTCTTCTAATTTCTCTCTCTGTGTTTGCAGCGATCCGCGATCTGCATATCCGCAGGGAGTGCGATGCCAAAAGTGCCTGGAGATGGGGCACTGGAGTTATGAGTGCAAAGGCAAGAGGAAATACCTACATAGATCTTCTCGCACTTCGCAGCTGAAGAAGGCTATGCAAAAGCAAGAGAATGGTGATGAGTATGTCGTTTGAGTTCCTCCATTACATACACAAGACGTTTCTTATTGAGTCAATACCTAGTAAATTTCCTTTAGACTTTCCTTTAGAACATGCACGTCCAATTTTAGCTCTGGAACCATCGACGCAAAGCCATCAACGCAAAAAAAATCAATGTGGATAAGATTTCGGGGGAACTGTAAAGTATTGATACACGTCTGAGCGTCTTATCAACACTTTGCAGTCTCCGAAATCTTATTCACATTGAATTTTTTGCGTCAATGGCTTTGCGTTTTGGCTCCGGAGCTAAAATTGGACAGGCCTGCTTTAGAACAAGGAAAATATATTTCGACTTAGCAAGGATGTTTAGTAAATTAGATTATTTTAGGCAATAATGTTTCGTCTTCATGAAGGATATATAAACAAAGAGAATATATAAGATATTTTTTTTTATTTTGATCTTGATACCAAGATAAAATATCTATAGTTAGAATAAAAGGCGTTTTCCAACAAAAGATATAATTAACATAGAGAGAGAGGGATATCACCTTGTGAGTGGATTCATAAGGGATTTATAGTGAATCATGTCATTCTTGTTTAATATTAATAAATAACAAGGATGTAATGATTCTGTAAACCTTGCAAAAAGTACAATAAATTATTAGGTTCTTGTTAAATAAATTATTAATGTTAAATAAAGATGGAATGATTTACTGTATCATCTGTGTCTCTTACTAAAAAACATACAAATTGAGGAGGATCTTATGTATTATTATGTCATGTTTTAGTCAAGAGCAAGAAAAAGAGGCAAAGCACCATCATAACAGTAAGAAAATGAAGAAAGAGGATTCCAGCAATTCAAGCGACTGGAGCAGTTGTAGCACCTCCAGCAGCGATAGCAGCATAAATTCTAGTAGTAGTAGTAGTAGTAGTAGTAGTAGTAGTAGTAGTAGTAGTAGCAGTAGCAGTAGTTCCTCGGATAGCGAATCGGATTCTAGCGATAGTGTGTCTAGTAGCAGCAATAGCAGTTCTAGTAGTAGCAACAGCAGTCACGGTTCCTACAAAAAGAAATAACACAGATGCTATTGTGTGAAATGAGACATCGAGAAGAAATTTCTTTTTCACTGTCTCTGGCTTTTGACAAAATATTGTTCTGAGTACAATGTCATTTTGCATTTCAGCAAAATGACTCCAGAGAGGAAAGAGCAAGTTGAATTTTGCGACAAAATTCTTTATGCCTTTTGTACAAGTACATCGACAAATATTTTTATTTTAACATAGAAGATGTCTTTGCTTAAAACGAAAGTTTCAATAATTAATCTTTTTCTTTTTTTTTATTTTATAATTAATCACGTTAAGACGATTCATTATTGTATTTCTGTTATTTAGCTTTTCTATGACATGTACGATTTGTTATACTTCTGCTATTTAGTTTTTCTATGATATATACATACATATGTGATCATTTAATCTTGTTCACCAAATTCACCAGTGAACAAGAATAATCAATGTATCACACATATCATGTGTGAAACAGAATACATCCTATATCTTATTATATGAGAACATTTTCTTTATGACATTATTTGCGAGAATTCGTATTGTGTTAATAACTGTCATTTCTTTCATATATAAGGGCTTTAAAATGTTTTATATTAAATATAAATGTGAAATTAATTGCTAGTTATTGTATAGAATTGATATTTAAATAGAACATATTTTGTACTGTTGTACGCACATAGATATATGATAGAAAAAACTGATTTATTAGAAACGTAATATATTTAATGACAAATCACAATAATTAAATTTGTATAACGATATTTAATAATGGCATTAAAAATGTTAATGAGCGCTGTGTCAGACATTTCAACGTTAATGTATTGATATAAGAATTGTGAGATAGAAAAAAAAATCGCTGTTTTGTTGCGTATAATTTAAATACATGTGCAAAAATACAACGCCGCTTTTCTCCGGATCAATCTTCAATGCCTTCGGGCAGAGTCTGTACTATTACTTTCCTTCTTGGTTCGTAAATAAAACTGTTTGTCTTGAATATGTCACTCTCGTAGAACGGATGTAAATTATGTATGTCAATTTGCTTCGCCTGCAATCAAAATACTGATATTAGTATAAAATGTGCTTCATTTCCCACATAGGCACATGAAAAAATGAATAAAAGTTGTTATGTAAACCTTTATAAGTAATGTAAGATAATTCTTATGTAAACTATTTTTTTAAATTAAATAGTGACAAGATAAAGTTTTTTTAGCCCAAATCATTTTGATATAATTTTCTAATTAGGTTTTCTAATAGTTAGAACGTTATACTTGTTAAATTCTTTCCCCCTCTTTCTTTCTCATATTATTTCCGCGCGAACGTATCAAATTTAATATAATAATGTAATTTGCATTACCCGTTCCAACAAATCCTTCTCAGGGATCTCGACGGTCGTGATACGTCCGCCGTGCAAAGCTTTTTGAAATGCTAAAGTATCTAAAGTAATTTGTCGCAGTATGTAATACAAAAGTTCACTGTGATCTTTCTTGTACGATAGATATTTCTGGAACGTCTGTAACGAGATGTGCACATGTTAAGATAGAAAGCAAAAATATAAATATAGATTGAAAGCGCAAACGAACAAATAGAAATAAAGATACCTGACGCATAGATTTCATAACGGAATATTTCTGCGTGTCGACAAAACTATCGAGAACCATCCTGATGGCCAGGTTCATATCACTCTCCTGAACGTGATCCCTCAGATGCATCTTTGCACTAGCCTCCGCCATACGAATAATGCTTTCTATGTGACGGACGGTGATTGGTAAACTGCCAGTCGCCTAAAATGTAATAATCATAAAAACAATTATATTACTGTAATCAAAATCTTTTTTACATTCATTTTTTTATTAATCTCTTTTAAGATTATATATAAACAGATGATATATTCTTTCCTCTGTTTTACTGACTCACCAAGCTTTCCTGTCTTAATTGACTGTACAATTTTGCCACTTTGTCTTGATCGATGCTGGTCAGCTTCGGATGTACATTCTGCTTCGCATAAACGATATACTTTTTTAAAAGATCTTGAGGAATGCATAGATTTTGCGTGGCAGGATCCAGTACTACGGCTTGCGTTCTCTCCGTTCTCTCTGAATTATCTGTTGGATGATGCTTGATGTGCGAATTTACGACAAATTTGGCCAGATGACGATCTTGCATGGGATCAACCTCATCCTTGACTATACACAATACATCAAATCGCGAGAGAATCGGTTCTGATAGGTCCACCTATATGCAATTTAATACGTAACATACATAATTATCATTTGATCCCACATGTTTGCACAATCTTTAAGAAAGATTCTAATTTTATATAATAATATAAATCTATAATTTTATATTTTCATGATTTATATTTTCATATCAGCATATATTTTACATCTTTCATTTAAAAGTTACAATTTTGTGCAATCGCAAATTAAAAAATGCTAAAAATACATACATTTTCTGCAAAGGTCATACTGGGATCGTATCGACCACCGATGGGATTAGACGCCGCTATCACTGCGCATCTTGCGTGAAGAGATGTAACGATACCGGCCTTCGAAATAGAAATACTCTGTTGCTCCATAGCTTCATGAATAGACGTTCTGTCCTGATCATTCATCTAAAAAAAATTTGTGTTGTTTCTAATAACTATATTTATCAAATTTTGTAATGTAAATTATACAGATCTATACATAATTTTGATATTATATATGAATAATCTATATATGAAAGCACTATAAATATTAATTCTCTCTCTTCTTCTCTCTCCTTTTCTCTTTTTCTAACAATCATTATTGATAACATAAAAGTACGATATTTATAGATATTTATAACGTTATCAATGAGAGTTATTAGTCACATAAATTATATAAATTTGTACTTTGTCGAATTCATCGATGAGGCATATTCCATGATCGGCAAGAACCAAAGCCCCAGCTTCCAAGGTCCATTCTCTGTTAATAGGTGATCTCCTAACGTAAGCAGTCAAACCAACGGCCGAAGCACCCTGACCTGTTGTGAAGATAACCCTCGGTGCCACCTTCTCCACATATTTCAAAAATTGTGACTTAGCGGTGCCAGGATCTCCGCACAGCAAAACATTTATATCACCGCGAACTTTGTGCTTGTTGCCTGCATGTTGCAATATGATGCAAATAAGAAGGAAGAATGTATAGAAGACTGATAGGATGATTCAAAGAAGAAATAAGTACCAGGATTCTTTGGCTCGCCACCAAATATCGCCAGTGCTAAGGCTCTCTTTATGTTTTCATGGCCGTAAATTGAAGGCGCGATACTCGCGACTATACGATCCGCGATGCGCTGATCTTTACTTAGAGCGAGTATACTCGAGATGTCCTCTTCCGTCAGCGAATCTACGATTTCTTTCGAATCTTTGACAAATAAATGATTAGCTAATAGAACTGTGGAGAATACTGGGAAGCCCTGTAATACAAAATACAATAGATATAATCTTATCCCAGTAAAAAGTTTTCTTCTGGGACAACTTGTGGAATAGATAAATATAATATAAAGAAACCTAATTAATATATATGTAACAAAAATTTAATCTCACCTGTTCAGTGTTCAAAGAACCATCATAATTATTGGTATAAATAGCTGTGACGTCTATCTCGTCCCCTGGTTTGCAACGATCACACAGGTCGGACAGCAGAATGCAATCTTTGCTGCGCGGTATTCTGCCAGCGGGTATTCTACCCGGGGATTCTTGTATAGTTATTTTTTGATAATTTCTATATATAGTTTGCTCCATATTGATCTGACACACGCGATACATTGTACATAAGTAAATGTGATAATTTTAAAACTAGCTGTAGCAATCAAACGTAGAATTTTTTGACTTACTGTAAATGGACCGGCACTCTGACATTCGGGACAAGAGCCTGGTTTAACTTCTGTGTTTTGAGATTGGACGAATGGTCCAAGAACGTAGTTGCATTTTGTACAGTCATACTTCACTACCGACAATTGCGGCAGGACTCCCGTAGTTGCCGTTACCACTCCAAGAGTTCGAACCAATTGATTCAAGTGGAGTTTTCTGTTGTAACAAAGTAAAAGCGACATAATTTCATACATATTCTATTTGTATTGCTAAGTAAAATAATATTAGATGCACATAACATATTTTTACCTGAACGTGCGTAATTCTTCGATCAACGGCAATTCCGATATTCTCACGTGAATCTCCGACGTGACTCTCTCGTAACTGGGAAAAATCGTAAGCACCAATTCCTTCGCTACTTCATCAAATATCTCGAGCATTTGATATGGCGCTTCTGGTAAAAAATAGGCCAAAACATGTTCCTTACTGGCGAGAATAGGAAATTCCACTATGAAACTGGACTATTAAAATGAACATAAAAAACCTCCATAAAATAAAAACATAAATAAAAAAATAAATATATATAATAAAATGAAGAACATCTTATTTTATTTGAAAGAAAAAATCTTATATGTATAACTATAAAAGATTACCATACAAGTTTTAAATAAAATATTCTATAATTGCAAATATCATTAAAAAAAATAAAATATATAAAAAGATATTTTTTAAATTAAAGCTTAAATTACACTAGAATTATGTAAGAAATTCGATATGTACCTGATTGCTCTCACACATATGGCGAATACGTTCTTTATACATATATTGTCCCTTGGAATTTGTATGAGTGCGAAGAAAGCTTTTAAAGCGGTTCGAAATTTCCGTTCGTGGTCCTAACATCATAACCCATTCCTTTACTGAATGTCCTTTGGTATCCTCTAAATTTTCAATGGATTCGATCATCTGAAATAATCAACAGAGCTCATTATTTAAATTATATACTTTTTTTACATGAAAATTGAAAGGATCTTACTTCTGCATCCTCCAATATGCCAGTAGCAGCCTTTTCAGCCATACGTCGTTTACGTGCTTGTACATCTTCTTCGTCAGTTTCATCTAAAAGTACAAAGAAAAATATTTATATATAAAGGTATTTAATTTTATAAATACACTTTTGAAACTTTAGAGTAACACAAAGTTAATTCAGTATAATTGTTATTTTATTTTTGGATAGCAATAAGTGATGAAACAAAATTACCGTAAAGAAGATCACGATCATCCCTTATGATGCCAGCTGCACGATCTCTTTTTCGCATATCCGTTTCCGCGGCTAAACGTTCGCCCTGAGACAATTCTGAATATTCTTCGTCATCCAATAGATTAGGATCATATCTGTCTAACCCTGACATGGGCCGATAATCTCTGTTTTGTTTTTGTGTCAAAAAAATATATAATTTTATTGATATCTTCAAGTATTTTTCTTGTTCACATAAAATAATTCAACAAGATAAATTATTTCTTCTTATTAAAGTTTTTAACACTTATTTATTAGATGTTAAACATTGATTTATTCTTATTGTTAGTTACCATTTTTATTAAATATATATTATTAAATATATATTAAATATTTTAAAAATATAATATCCTTACGCCTCCATATTATCTCCGAATAATTCTTCTCCTTCCTCTTCTTCCTCATTATCAACATGGTCTCCATCAAGTAAATCAGATTCATCTTCAAATGGCTCATCTATATCAGGTGCAGGAGAAGTTTGTTGGCTTATTGGATCAGTATGTCGGTTAGAATGGATAGGAGAACTTGGTTGACTCTGACATACATAAAATTAGGTATTACTTTAATTTTTAAAAATTACGAATTTAATAAATTATGAACAATCAAAACAGGGATACGAGCCATGTGTAATAATTATTACACATGGCTCATGTCCTTGTTTTGATTGTTGATTTTTTTGAGTGAGCCTTTATTATTCGTTATTAATGAATTATATTATTTAATGCATGTATATGATAAAAATATATAACTGTATATAATTCTAAATATATTTTAAATATATATATATATATGTATATATTTACTTATGTATGTTTACAAAATTTTTATATATGTAATATATATTATATTTATGGTTGCCAAAGCGCAAATGTCTATTTTATTTGCATTTATAATTATATCATATTTTATTCGCTTTTATAACATGCGTATATACGTATATGTGTAATATACGTCAATAATAATAACATATATACACAATAATTTTTGAAAGTTTACCATGTTGCTGTTTATATACTATCGTCGTGAAAGCAATTCTGCTTGTATATTATTGCAAAATACTCAATATAATGATCGTTTTCCTTCTTTTATAACAAAATTGGCACGGAAATCAAACCATCAAGTCACTTGGCCACACTTCTCAACACTTCTTCCTGAATTAAAGGTTCTTGTCTGGATTTCTGATAAATTGGCCACACTTGGCGGGAATACTTCATAAAGAATTGTATCATAGAATGTCAATGATAAAGAAAGATAAGCATGTTACTTGAAATCCTAACCAATAAAATTTGTCCAATACTGACGAATCAGCTTTCATTTAATCCCACGTATTATGGAATTATGCATTCGAAATGGATTCCGATCGGAATTATTCAATTATTTCCTAGATTTTTGCTGGGGTGCGTTCCAAAATTCACTCCGAGTAACAGAGTTTAACTCTACGCCGTTCCAAAACGCGAGGTAACTGACCATATGGGCGGAGCCTATTCGTTCCAAAAGTATG